TGTAACTTGTATAGATTACTTTGGTTATTCAACGCAATAACTGCATAAAATTTTGTAATCCTAAGTTTCAATATTCATAGAAAAATGGACATTTTTGTTCAAAAAAAATTATTTTTTTGCTTAACATTTTCTTATTATAACTGTAAAAATATTCTATAAAATGAAACAAAATTTCTGACGCAATTTTTAATTAGTAGGAATATCTTCATTTTAAAATTTGAGAATGATATAATTTAAATGTTCCAAAATTTCGTATCATATTTAAAATAGTCAATTCGTGAATTTTCAGTTCCAGTGTAATTTTATAAAAAGGAATATAACTATACCCGAAGGCTAATTATTATTCTTTAAGTCAATAATATTTCCTACATGTGTATGTTTTAGGTATTCAAAAACTTATGTCAAGCATTGAAAAGAATGTAAAGTGAACTAAATTATATTTTGAAGTTTTTATTTTATATTTCCAAAAAATATATTTGAGTAATTAAACTTTTGTAATGAATCAAACAATGATAACCTTATTTTCTTATGTGTAAATTTTTAATTTAACTTAGATAGTTCTCAAAGTGTCTTTATTCCTGATTTCCTGCACTAACATTGTCCTTATTCCTGATTTCCTGCACTAATATTGTCCTTATTCCTGATTTCCTGCACTAACATTGCTCTTATTCCTGATTTCCTGCACTAACATCAGCATGAAGTTTACTAGGTCAATGTGGGTAAGAATCATAATAAGTGACGTAAAAAGCAAAATTTTAAAAAAAAAGTGGCTTTTCTACGTGGGTAATTTTTTAAATGTACTCGTTAAGTATAATTCAATAGTTTTAAAATAATCAAATTTCATTAACGATTTTTTTTATGATTTAGTGTTTATAGATACTTCATGCAATAAAAAACATAATTAATTTTAACATTTAATTTTTGTTCAAAATATTTATTGGTTCCATACAGTTTTTTTTCTCATTACTTTTTTAAATTATAAGAGACACAAATTTATAAGCATTTCATGCAATCATTTTTATTTATTTTCTTACTTATTATTTAAATGCATTCAGTAACAAATTCTATTATGTCACGCACCTATATTTATTCAATATTTCTTTGGTATAGTGATTATTAATCAGGAGTTATGGTCATCGGAAAAATAACACACGATTTGACCCATGCCCCTAAAACCGTATAGGGTTATCTCAACGATCAACCCTTCCGTGTCACGATCATACGATATTGTTCCTGAAGCCTAACTACATTTTGATATTGAATCAAATGGGATAATGATAAAAGTTAAGAAAGTTTATATATTTATTTACCTTATTCATCAGTATTCAGTTTCTTTATCTTGAATCATTCTAAGTACCTTATTTTAACTTGTCAAGTGAAAACAATGTGCAGAAATAGTATAAGTGGTTACATTGTGACTATTTTAAAGAGATTATAATCTAAAATTCCAAATCATCCTTTAAAATTGTCTAGAACTATCATTTTTTATTATTTAAAATGTAATGGCTTTCTTCATAAACTACAAATTTGAATTAAAAATATATTATTTCGTAATTGGATTTTACCCTGATATTATGTCAACATGTTTTTCTTTTACATCACTACGATGTTATAATGTTTTGTTTTGTACCACTACTTTGTCATAATTTAACTTTGTAACTATAGTATGCCATAATTTTTAATGCATCATTAATATATCCTACTGATTTATTTTACATCACTCTTGTGTCGTAATTTCACTTTGTAAGAATGGTATACAATAATTTTTAATGCATTATTAGCATGACATTTGTGACATAATGTTTAATTTTGCATCATTACTATGTCATAATTTGACTTTGTAACGATAGAATACCATAATTTTTTATTCATCATTAGTATATCCTAATGATTTATTTTACATCATTATTATGTCATAATTTGACTTTGTAAGAATAGTATACAATAATTTTTAATGCATTATTAGCATGGCATAATGTTTAATTTTGCATCATTACTATGTCATAATTTGACGTTGTAACGATAGAATACCATAATTTTTAATGCATCAGTAGTATGTCATAACGATTAATTTTGCATCATTGTTATGCCATTATTTGAATTTTTATCTGTTTAATTTAACTGTTTACCATGACTGTTACGATATGACTACTTTAATACTTATATTATGATTATCTTAGATCCAACGCAACCATTTTAATTTTAATATCAATATCTATAAACTTTGGTGTTATAATTGAGGTTGCGAATATAATAATGTTTAGTTTATTCTTCATATTCAGATATAAATTTTTGTTGTAGACGTAAGCATAGTTTTTTTAATGATAACCAATTACTAAAATAAGCTTTACTTTAATTTCTTCTAATTAATTACAGATGTTTGAGTTCCAGTTTGCGAAATGGCGTGCAGTTAATTGAGACAAATATGTTGTTACCTCATTTAAAGTGTTGTATTGGGCCTCTTAGCGACTTGGGTGGCTTCCAACTTGAGTACAATTTGAACACCCAAGCCTAGTCTTAGTCATCTGATCAGTTTTGGATGCTCTGCTAAAATCCCAACTTTAATTGCAGCTTTCTAGTTCTCAATTAATGGATTTGTTCCATCGACGCCTCTTCACCTCTTGGCGGAGTTGGCATAAAACCTTTTGTCATGATTTTGGTAGGATTTAGATTAAGGGGCACTTTAAAGGATGCCTCACTTACAGGATCTACCCATTATTTTCTTGTTCGGAATGGATGGGCAGGAGCCTTTAGGAGTAACCTATATTCATGATTCACAAAAACTCATGATTTTTTCCTAATGGAATTTATACTAAAAATAGTAGATGCAATGCTACAAATTTAAATAAAACTTCATTTTTATTATAAAAATAAGGGTCATGTATTTTCAATGATATTTACTATATTTATATTCTTAAACTGAAATAGAATCTCCCTTAATGCGCGATATCATACGCTAATTTCAAAATTAAATACCTCACTTACAGGATCTATCCATTATTTTCTTGTTTGGAGTGGATGGACAGCAGCCTTCAGGAGTAACCTATATTCCTGATTCATTAAAATTCATGATTTTGTCTAATGGAATTTATACTAAAAATGGGGGATGCAATGTTACAAATTTAAATAAAATTTCATTTTTACTATAAAAATAAGAGTCGTGTATTTTCAATGATATTTACTATATTTATATTCTTAAACTGAAATAGAATCTCCCTTAATGCGCGATATCATACGCTAATTTCAAAATTAAATACCTCACTTACAGGATCTATCCATTATTTTCTTGTTTGGAGTGGATGGACAGCAGCCTTCAGGAGTAACCTATATTCCTGATTCATTAAAATTCATGATTTTGTCTAATGGAATTTATACTAAAAATGGGGGATGCAATGTTACAAATTTAAATAAAATTTCATTTTTACTATAAAAATAAGAGTCGTGTATTTTCAATGATATTTACTATATTTATATTCTTAAACTGAAATAGAATCTCCCTTAATGCGCGATATCATACGCTAATTTCAAAATTAAATACCTCACTTACAGGATCTATCCATTATTTTCTTGTTTGGAGTGGATGGACAGCAGCCTTCAGGAGTAACCTATATTCCTGATTCATTAAAATTCATGATTTTGTCTAATGGAATTTATACTAAAAATGGGGGATGCAATGTTACAAATTTAAATAAAATTTCATTTTTACTATAAAAATAAGAGTCGTGTATTTTCAATGATATTTACTATATTTATATTCTTAAACTGAAATAGAATCTCCCTTAATGCGCGATATCATACGCTAATTTCAAAATTAAATACCTCACTTACAGGATCTATCCATTATTTTCTTGTTTGGAGTGGATGGACAGCAGCCTTCAGGAGTAACCTATATTCCTGATTCATTAAAATTCATGATTTTGTCTAATGGAATTTATACTAAAAATGGGGGATGCAATGTTACAAATTTAAATANTTTTAGAAATTGTAGGCCTTAGTTTTATACTATAGCACATTTCTAATAGGTTTAACGAATTACATGTCATTTATTTGAATTCAAATTTATTTTAATGACTTAGTATTTACTAAAAAGATGCAATTTTTAAAAAAAAAAAAATTGTTATATGGATTTGAATGATTGTTTTGAATCCTTCGAATTTTGTGCATTTGCAATGTACCCAAATTAGTAGCGAGCGAAGCGAGCTTGGTTTGCGAATCATAAGGTTGGCGAATCATAAGGTTTGCGAATCATAAGATTGCTACGCAATCTTATGATTGCGTAGCAATTTTCGGGGGTTGGCGAGCGTTAGCGAGCAGGGGGAGCAGCCCACTAGTATATAAATAAAAACAATGCACTGTACAGTCAGTTTTTTTATATATATTCACTAATCTTTGTTCTTATATATTTAACTTGAAACAAAAATGGGGATGATTTTATAACCATGTAGTTATTCATGTATCTTCTACAATTGTTTAAGCATTATTTGATTCCTAACTTTTAATATTATTTTTTTTGTGTTGCGATAGCAACGATGTATATTTGAAACCATCTGAAATTAAATCAACAGATGGTTGCTGACAAGACCTAACTGAAAATTTTTTACCTTTTACTCATTAACACTTACAATTATACAATTGAATTCCTTTGATGCAAAAAATAAAGAATTAATATCATTCAGTGAATTAGGAGAGATATGACAACTCCATTCTTCTAGATTTTTTTCTATTGAAGGATGTAATATGAAATGGATAGAATATTCAAATAAGTAGAATACAAAAAATCTCCGTCAAATTTATTATTTTTTATTTAGTTTTTAAATGAATGTAATTTGCAAAATGTTTGTAATTTACAATTGGTGGAAAGTTTGTGATTTATAATTGGTCAAATGTTCGTAATTTACAATTGCTGAAATGTTTCAAATTTACAATTGGTGCAACTCTGGTTTACGAAATTTAAAATATTTATATTTGTTTTCATCCCTTTTATTTTATTTGTATTGCAGATTCTATTACCTCAGCAGTTTTAATGGTGCTAGATGATCTTTTATCCAAATTTTATCCAGTATTATTCCAATTAAGGTGAGTAATTTAATTATAAATTAAAATATAATAAATTATTCTGAATTTTATTGTAAGTTAAAATCCAATTAGTAATGATAAACAGTAAATATTTAAAAAAATATATGTTTCATGAATTGCAAGTATCTTGCGTTATATATGAATTTAATCCTTATTTAGAAGTAACTCAATCAATTTCATGACACAGAATCCATTTCAAAGTTTATAAATCAAGTAAAAAATGCTAAAAATATCACTATGTTTAATAAGAACATAGTTCAGTATAGCATAGTTGCAAAATTAATAATTTTCTTCCAAATTGAATTAATTTATTGTATGAGCAAAAATGAAAAAAAAAAATCTGCTTGATAGTTTTCCCTAAATTATTCAACTGCGTTTATAGCGAATGTAAAATATCATTCAATTAACATAATATAATGGCATGAAATATTCGAATTATTTAAATCTTAAAGAATATTTAACGCGAAGAAACATTTTTAATAAAGTCAATTTTCATTAAAGTCATTTTTCTACTTGATGAACGCGAATAATGTTTCAAAGACCTAAAAGTGGGTAGTGAATCTTAGATTAAGAAGAAATGGTCTAATATGATTCAAGAAACGAACACACATTTCAGTTTTCAAAGTAACTTCTGTTTCTAAATCCATACAGAAGCAACATGTAATTAAAAGTCGTAAACTTTTATGTTCCAGCTGATACATCTTGCTATATTTTTATTTACTTATAGAAGTAATATGAATGTTCCAAGCAACATTTCACTTGTAGTTGTGAGATACAGCTTCACAAATTGTTGGTCTCATTTAGTATTTTGTATTCACAAATATGTATACTGAAATTCTTGTACAATAAAATTGTCTACAATAGTGACTTTTCAGCATTGGAAAGCAAATATTTCCAATTCATTTTATACTAAAGTAGACTAATTATGAAAACAAAACCTGAAATATAATTAATTAAATAATGGTTTTTTTTAAACTTATAGCTATAACTAAGTTATAATGACTATAACTATCTTTAAGCAATTTTTCATTTCATGAATTTCAACCAACGCCAATTTAAGAATTACAAAGTTGTCAGAGTGCAAACTCTCGAGTTTCAAATTGTTCCACCTTCTGTCCGATTAAGTGGATTGCCGCATGGCCTACACGGTTTTCAGTTTGTTTTAGGCAGACTTTCTACCTTAGGGACTCCATTTGGAATACATATTACGCGTGGGTATTGCTGTTCTTAGCACTCTCTTAATATTTTCAATGTATTTCAATTATTTTGTATTCACCAGAGAGCTGTTGTTCTCTGTATAATTGCAAGACACCGAATCTATTCATTTTGAAACTCACATGGTAAGATTAAAATATTTCTAATGCTTGTAGCATTGTATGTTTAGCATGTTTATCAACAGATTGGTTATTCTCTTCTATAGTTTTTATTTAACCTTTATCGAAAATTTCATATGATTTTAAAGTTTTGAAGTATTTCTTACTTTTCTCTAGTTGGTGTATTAATCCATGGGCTAATTAATACAAGTGATTGCTTAAGAGGAAGCTATACTCTTACTCTGTTTCAATGCTATATCTTGTAAAAAAAATTTAACTTTTTTATTATTAGTCAGTTTACCATAATTTTAAAACACAGAGCTGTCAAATTAAGTTTAATTATTATTGCGTTTAAAATTTTTTAATTCAGTTTCTTTTTTTAGGATTTTAAATCAGAAATTTAATTGCAATTTAAATTAAAATAAAAGTTGTTTGAAATTTCCTATTTGGTATTTTCTAATAATTAATTTAGATTTTATAAAATTTTGTCTTAATTAAAACAAACGAAAATTTATTAATGTGTTCAATCTTTTGAATTCAAATTCAAAGCAAATAACATTAGCATTTTGATGAAAAAATATATACAAAATTTTAGAAAAATAGTTTTGAAAAATCAATACACGGAATTTTAAAGAAAGTTAGCATTTTTAACAAATTCTTGCCTATAAAAATTTTGACTCTAAAGTACAATGAAAGAATTGTAAAATTTTGTTATAATTAAAGCAATAAGCTATATATAAATGTTTCTATTCATTCAAAAGTTAACTATTAATTCAAATGAGCGAAAAATAATATTATGATTTTGATGATAAACTGTATGAAACTTTATTTGTTGTTAATTTTTCCATTAAAATCTTCAAAGCAAAATTGACTTTTTTAACAAATGGTTGTCTATATGATTGTTTCCCAAGTACCGCTTCACTGACCAGTGCCGGTAGCAACTTAATATTTGCATTAAAAATAAGATAATTTTTTTTAATATTTAATGAGGTTTAGGCTCAAGTATTTTTCATTGTAAAGAGTTTACGAATGATCTGAAACAATCTGATCAAAAAATTGTTTAAGTTCCACAATTTTGTGTACATAAAAATTAAGCTAATAATCCAAATTTTTAACCTTACTTGTCAGCGATAAAACCATGAATTCAGATGAATAAATAAGATTATGATATTAAAATATACAAAGCTCTATTTGTTGTTAAATTTTTCATCATAAAGGTTAAGTAAAATTGGCATTTTTAAAAAATCTAAATAATTGTGATTCTAAAGAATTATAAAATTCTGTATTAATTAAAACAAAGAGAAACATATAAATCTTTCGCCGTCGATTGAAATTCGTCAGAAAATATTAACAACCAAAGTTATGATTTTGTTTATAAAAATCTTTTAGCGTTTTTAATTTATAATTATCTTTAAGTTTAGTAGAAAAATAGTAAACAAGAAATATAAATGGTCTTTTTTGTATCTTGAAAATATGTGATAAATCCTAAAAGTTTCCTTGGAACTTGATAAATTTGGTTTAATAAAATATGCATAATTTTCAAGTGCGAACTCTATTTCGAATTTGTTAGCTTAAAATAGCAAGAACTTGTCATAGAAGACTAAAAAGTAGAAAACGATAATTATTTTCATTAACTATTTTTCTATACGCATCTAAATGGTGTTTTAACCGTGAAAAATAGCATCGAAACTTGGATTGCTTATAGTTTCCTAAGTACTGTTTAGCTTTTGAAAACAATTTAATTACCTACACAGTTATCGTGTCCAAACATACAATTGGTTTGTTTAACGGTGTTGCCATTCTCTTGGAACTAAAAGGCTTTTACCTATCACCGGCAAAACTCATTCATCTTCACTTCAGCTTTCAGATGGTGTCTCTATTATGCAGGCATAAATCTTCATTAACTTTGTGTTAAACAAAAGCTCAATATCGAAATGAGTCAAGCATAAAATAGCGTGCAATTTTTCTTTATTAAGAATCCCTGTGTTAGTTGAATTAAAGCTATGGGGAAGAGTATGGATCGCGACCTTATGATTCTAAATGAGATGAGATTAGGTTGATTTCCTGGGGTAATACTCTTTTGAGTTACGCGAGCATTATTTTTTGGATATCGAGTAAGGGTACTTGTAAACTTTTATTTTCGGGAAAGAATACTAATTTTAGAATAACGGGACTTGTAAACTTTTATCTTCGGGAAAGACGGGACTTGTAAACTTTTATCTTCGGGAAAGACGGGACTTGTAAACTTTTATCTTCGGAAAAGAATACTAATTTCAGAATAACCGTCTTGAAAATTTTATTTACAGGAACTTATAATAATTATAAATAAAAGATCTTGTAAACTGTTAGTGCATCAGGTTTTCTTTGAAACTCTCGCCAAGGAGAGAAAAAAATTCTCTGAATATACCTTAAACTATAAGCTGAGCTATAATTTCAAACTGTATACTATTTTAACATAAAAACATAAAGAATTAAACGTACAAATATCTTAAACATTAAAAAAAAAGTTTTTAAACTTCTTTTTTTTTAAAAAGAAAAAAAATCCTGTTCTGGCGAGGCATTTTTTGCCAAGATGAAAATTAAATAAATTAATGAGCAGCTTTAAATTTTACGAGACATAGCTATGCAAATTTGGTCGTAATTTTTCAAGTTCTAGAATAGTTATATAGCAAATGATTTTTATTTTTTAAACACATAAAGATTATCTCCATATTGATTTTGGTCTAAATTTTCTTATTTAGCACATAAGGTGCTGATAATTATGTGCCAAACTGAACCTAATTGTCATGAATAACTGCTTCACACTCAAAAGTATTCTGCTTTTTTCAAATTGAAATACGGAGAATAATATAAACGCATTTTTTGTTTTTATTAAATAAAAAATATTTTATAAAATATTTTTTGAATCATTTTATTTATTGAGATACATAATATTGAAGAAAAATTACTTAAATTTAAGTTTCAAGGTTGAAAGTATTTTAAAACCTTTTAAAGGCTTTTAAATACTTACAATGTTTAAAAATTAAAACTCTTACAGTTTTACAAACGACATTAATTTTTTTCTCATAAAAATCTGTTCCATTGAATTATTCAATTTTCAAATTTAAGATAAGTCATCTTGAAACTTATTCAAATTTTTTGTCTGCAAGTTAACATAAAAAGCAGCATTAAATTTGACTTATGTTTAAATAACTGCCTTAAATCGTCAAACTAATTTTATCTAATTTTTCCTTTTATGAAATTCCATATTCTAGGACTGTGGGGTTTTTATTTTTGTTGTAGTTTAAGTAGTAAACTACATTTGAGAAAACGAAAATATTCGAAAAAATTTTATTTTATTTTACGTTATTCCAACAATTTTTTTCAACTATTTCATTTGTGTAGTTAATTATCTTTTTGTTGTCTGAAAAACTAATTTCAAGGTTACAAATAAATAAAGAATACAGTACATTTAATAAATGTGATAGAGTCTCGTGTATGATGAGAAATTAGATGGAATGTTATGTATTGATATTTGAAAGCAGACTAAGAGTTAGTATTAATAATTGAAAGTTTTAATATTAAATGGATTTGTTGTAGTCATGTATATGAGTAGTTGAATAATTTTTTGTATTTAGTTTAATATTTTAACACTTAGTAAGACATTAATATTTTAGTAAAATATTTCAACAAGAAAGTTTTTTTTAC